ACGTGGATGTTTATTTCCTGTGGGTTCCTATGATTTGCGTTCTTCTTTCCACTCTTTCCACCTTCTTCACATGAGGCTTGCTGTTCTACTTTCCTGCTGCCATCTGCTTATCAGCCGCTCTGTTGGGGACTTTCAGGAGTTGGCTGCTCTGGTGTTTGTCCCAGAGTTCACCTTTGCCTTGTTACTGTTTTCATCCAATTATACCACTTCCTCCTGCAGCAGCAAGCTCCTTCCTTTCCTTTCTCAGCCTTTGCTTTATTGTTTCATCTCCTCTGTGCATATCTTATACAACTCATACTATGTTGCTAATATTATTGATAAAGTCTGTTTTCTCTCTTTAAAAAAAATAAAAGGCAGTGTTTATACATTCACACCTGTGGCTAGCATGCCGTGACTCTTCTTTTCTTTGGTCACACTCAGGTTTCGTCTGGTCCCATGTCCTCCAAATGAAAGATTTCTTTTGCCTTTGCCTGTAGTGTGTGTCTGCTGCTGGTGAATTCTGATGACAGCTTTCATATGACCAAAGAACCATTCATTTTGCCTTCAGTCCGAAAGGCACTTTTACTGACTGTGGAGCTCACTGAACTGCCTGCTCCCCCCTCCAGTGCCTTAAAGATGCTGCTCCAGTGCCGCCTCCCTGGAGGGTTCCTGACGTGACCCTGCTGTCCTGTTTTCTCTGTCACTCTCTGACTGCGTGTCTGCCTTTGTCTCCATGCTGTTGAGTTTCTCCCATCTTCATTGGTTTAGGTAGCGGTGGCCTCGACACTTTCCATTACAAGGCTTGAGGCTCGAGGAGCTTGTGCCTGCTTCTTCACAGGTGTGTGAGCTCTGGTTGGATGGCCTGCAGTGTGAATATACTTGCCTCATTGTTGGATACATATGCTCCTGTTCCTGTGCACATCCTTGAACTCTATTCTAGGAAGCATTTCACTTACTTGCAAATAGCCCAATTTAGCCACGTCTGTCTTTAAAATATCTTCAACAGAACCAGAGTCGCACTCAATGCAGCACTGTCTTTTGCCCATCACCACGGCAGGGCACTGTGCATGCTGTACACGGTGTCGTGTGCACCATGACATCTCGCTGGCTGGATGATGCGAGCAGGCTCTGAGCCCGGCCCACCCGTGGCCCTTTCCTCACAGTGCAGTAGCAGCCGGAATCTCAGGACCTCTGCAGATCTCTGTGCTTCCTCTCTCCTTCCCACTCCTCTGTGCCACCACCTCTGGGTGCTGTGGTCCCCTTAGTCTCTGCTTGTCAACTCAGGCACATTCCGCCCTCTTTCTGGGTTCCCAGCCCGAGGGCCAGGTGCTGCAAGCTGTCTGAAGGCGTCTGCAGGGCAGCCCTAAAGCTCACCTCATTTGATTTTTGTATCTGAAGAATGTCTATGCTTTGTTACTGATTCTTAGCATCTTAAAAACCGTCATTTCATAGATACGTGTTACCGCTTTGTTTTCAGTGGAGGACAGTGCAGAATGTGCTGCTTCCCTGGCCGGAAGCAGAGGTTAGTGCCCTCACGGTTCCTCTGCAGACTGGGATGCCCGCCTTCTCGGAGCCTCTGTGTCATATCCATGCTCGTGCTCTGACTGCGTTAGGGAGAAAGGCACCCGAAGAGACAAAAGGGGGTGTGCTGTGCAGGAGGCAGGAGCAGGCAGGACATGCTTGAGTGCACACTGTGACTTGACTTCCCTCACCTGTGCCCTGCAGTGAGCAGCTGTCCACGCCCCCCAGGTGTTGCTCTTAGACACCAGGTGTGGGGTGGGCGCCTTAGTGATCTGAGCAGAGCCATGAGTTAGGCGCGTGGACACTGCAGTGGCCCCGGGTTTCCATTGTGGTCCTGCTGTGGCCACGCTGGAGTTAAATGCCTGGTAGAGACCCGGGGCAGCGTGGTGCAAGGGTGATTAGGGAGGCCCAGAACTGAGGAGGGAGCTGCATTTTGTCCTGGAAATTTGGAGCTATCAGCAGGTCCTGGGACCAAAGAGAATGTGGGGAAAGATTTAGTGTCAAGGGAAGGGCTTAAAGGAAGCTCTCTGTTTAGAGGTGGGGAGGACAAGAGGAGCCAGCAGAAGTGGGGGACACCAGGCTGGTGTGGTGCCCAGTAGAAGAGGAGTGAGAGGCTTCAAAGGCATGGCTGACAGCACTCCTGCCTCTGTGAGCTCAGAGATGCCCTGCCAGCATCTTTTGCTTCCTGCCGTGGATAATGGGAGTGAATGCTGGGGGCTGGGGACAGGTCCAGAGGCCCACGCTTGGCGAAGCAGCGTGTGTGTGTGTGTGTGTGTGTGTGTGTGTGTGCTGTGGAGGGTGACGGGGACCAGCTTCTGAAAGTGTCTGCAGGGCAGCCCTGAAGCTCACTTCCGAGTGCTGTCTGGGTCACTGTACTGGTACTGGCAAGAAGGAGTGAGCATGGGGCACACACGTGTACACATGTGTCTATATAATATGGTTTTGTAGCATTCTTTCCTCGGTGGTCTATTGGGAGGCTTTCTTGACACTAAGTAGCGTATGCATCGTGATTTGTAGCAGGAACGCAATATCCAGGTGGAGAAGATGCGCCGTGACTTAGCAGGTGCCCTCTCATTGGACGCTTAGGTTGCGTTTAATTTCCTTCTCTCGCTAATAAGGCTGGGATAAGTATCCCTTTGTGTATGTTTATGTACTTGCCACATTAGTTTAGGAGGCAGGCTGCTGCAGTTGGGAACTCTGGAGGAGACAAGAGGAAGAGGGAGCAGTCGCGTCTGGGAGCCCTGGAGAGAGAGTTGTTTCCTATGAGAACTGGGGACAGGAAGTGTGCCCCTATTCTCAGCTTCCTGCTCATGGACAGCCAAGATGCTCTGGGGATGCTCCTTCAGATTAATTCAATCAGCCGAGCAGAAGGGTCACCCCACCTTCTGAAAAGTTCCCCTTGCAAGCAATCTTTCTAGAAATTTCCTCTTTTGAATTTTAAGTAGTGCAAACTGCTACGGTCACAAAGTGATGTAACTTCCAGATAGCTTGGTGAGGATCACCATACACCCCGAAGCCAGCCCAGCACCTTGCTAGACCCTGCCACATGCCTCTCCCGTGCCCTTCTATGCCTTGCTGGGATCCTGGGTCTGGACAGGACAACAGATGAGTCACTCGCTACCAGCATGACAGTCCTGAGGCTGCGGCCTCATTCACATCTGGAAATCTCCAGTGGCGCGCTGCCTTCTTCTCAGTAAAGAAAAAATGCAATGAAAAGTTTGTAATGACAAACCTCAGACATATGCAGTGAGCTTAAGCACCCACTTTATTAAAAGCTAAAATGATAAAACCACAGTCAGTATAGTTTTATGCTTCAGCACACTGTAGTTCTTGGAAAATGCCAGTCCTTTTCAATTTCATTTTATTTATTTATTTATTTATTTATTTATGTCCGGCATTAGACACCCTCTCATCCCGGGACTCTAACATCCAACTCCTAATGCCTCAAGATTTCATTAGACCCTTGACATTCATCAAGAATTTGCCTCTAGACCTTTGAGACTTCCAAAACTCACGAACATCACCACAGCTTTCCCTTTCCCTGTGGTGTGCAGTAAAGACCAAATAAAAAATGTGTGTGACTCCTTCAGGCTCCTTATGATTCTATAAATACAAAACTGAAGTCATTTATAAAGCTATTAAGGCAGATCCAGGCTAGACTTCTTACTGAAATGGCTTTCAGTCATTATTTTTCTTTCTCTCTAAGGCACACGACAAACAGGTTATATTAGAAGCTCAAGCCCCCGCTGAATTCCGCTTTCGTCTCCTACCGTGTCCCAAATTCCTCCTCAGGTGACATGGCGTCTGGCTGACTTCCTCACTCCCTACACCCACCATTCAGAGCAGGAGTGCACTTGCTCTGGGGAGCAGTTCTTCTTAAGAAATGAATTTTGCCTTCATCTGAGGAAGTGGGACGGTGGCTTGAAGCCCCTAGGCCACCTCGTGAAACTTCAAAGCCACCAGCCCCAAAGCTGCCACCCCATCGTGGCTGACACTGTAGAACGGCAAGCGGTCAGCGTGCACATGGCCAGGCCGTGGCAGGAGGCCCAGTTGATGGGAAGTTCAACTGTACAGCTCCCCAGCCGTTGCCAGTGCCCCTCTGCACCGATGCATGCAGCTGGTACCGTTTCTGTTCTTGTGTGAATTTAGTCCAGTCCCCAAGATCCTCTTCATACCCCAGTTTTGTTCAGCTGATGCAGGCTGGCTGTAAACTCCAAGAACAAGCAGCCCAGCAGGTGCGGTAGCAGCCAGGCCACGTTCCCCTGGGATTCTCCCTGGTGGCCGGCTGTCTCCGTGCCATTCCGAGATGCCGTGCAGGGGGCAGGACAGAGTTTAAGTTCAGTGGAAGAGACAGGCCATGAAGTGGACAGCAAGGAACATGTTGGTAACAGAAGGGCTGGAGCAGCACAGTGCGGGGATGGTTCGGGACTTGGCTTTGTGCCGTACATGGTGGCCCAGCTGGAGCAGGGGGCAGACAGAGGAAAGAGAAGTGGGGTGTTCTAGGACAATGATGGCAAACCTTTTAGAACTTGCAAACACCAATAGCCCAGTGCAGCCCGCATGCCATGCATTCACCACCACTATCCTAGAAGCTGAAAGAAAGCCTGCATGGCCAGGAGGTGGTAGACAAAGGGATGAGGCGGGGGGTGGGGGTGGGGCACAGCCCCTAGAGGTCATTACTGTATAATTAATGTCCCCAACTCAGACGCTTTTGAGAGGAAAAAGCAGATGGTATTAATAATCACTCCCCAGAGTGTCAACGTGGGCTGTCTCTGGACACCTGCGGGCAGGATCCTCTCGGCAGGGCCTGAATGAGCTGGCACATGGCTTCACGTCCCCTGTGCTGTCCTCCTCCCCCGCCATGGCTTGCGGGTCTCCCTGCTATCCATCCCTGTGGTGCAGACTCCTGCCTCCCACCCTTGGGAGGCTCCGTGATGAGCAGCAGCATCCTAAGACCCATTTTCTGTCCTCTTGTCTCCCCTTCCGCATGGGTCTCCTAGGAACACTGCCCAGGAAGTGCAAGAAGGAGCTGCTGGCAGTGAGGCTGAGGAACCGGCCCAGCAGGCAGGAACTAGAAGACCGGAATATTTTCCCCAGGAGGACTGACGAAGAAAGACAGGAAATTCGGCAGCAGATTGAGCTGAAACTCTCCAAGTAAGTGAGAGGGCACAGACTCGGCCATGGGAAGTCCTGCCTGCCCCTGTGCTGGGCAGCAGGCACAGCCCGTCCCTCAGCCCTGCGCAGAGCTCTGGTGACAGTGTTCTGTCCTGGGGACGGTCCTATACGTGTAGGAGGCTTAGCAGCCCCCGTGGGCTCTACTTGTCATTTCCCATGACAATCAAAACTGTTCCTAGACATCGCCAACTGTCCCCTGGGAGGGAAATCAGAGCCAAATCAGATGTGTGCCGGAGATGAGGGGGTCCTAGCCAGAAGGGACTGGACAAACTGGTAAGAAGTTCCTGGGCCAGGACCGGGGACAGGGAGAAGTCCCTATTCACCTGTACATTTTTTGGCAAGAATGTAGATGTGGTGTGGCTTGATCTTGTAAGGTTTTCAAGCAAAGCCACACTCACACGTACTGTGTGCCTCGGTGTGCACCTACGTTGGGGCAAAGTGGATGTGCAGTGAGACATCTGGCTGTGGCACCAAGCCGCGAGTCAGTACCAACTTTACTCCCCTTGAGGTGCCTGCTGGTCATGTGACCTCCTGGCGGTCGCTGTGGGTGGAGGTGACTGTGAAGGGGGAGAGCTGGAGGGTGGCCCAGCCCCAGCCATCCAGGCCATTTAGGTGGTCCAGAGCAGGAGAGCATACTCTGGTGGGTTCTTCTGGGAAGACCCGGCCCTCGGCTTCTGAGCTGCAGGGTGGGAAGGTGCAGAGCACAGAGCCCTGATGTGGCATTTGGTGTGTCATCCTCCTCCCTGTTCCTCTCAGCAGCTGCCAGCCTGTCCACAAAGAGCTCAGGGCTCAACTTGCAGGGACAGCGCCCTGGACTCCCCCAGGCTGCCTGTCGCAGTTTAAGCCCCAGAGCTGGCAGAGGGGATGAGCGGATCAGCTGGTGTCGCTGTCTCTGCCTCCTTCCACCCGCCCTCTGTCACAGTGCTTCTCATTGGGCCCTGCTGATGAGCGGTCAGGGAATGCAGGTTCTGAAACCACAGGCCAAAGCAAGACCTGAGAGCCTGCGACCCCAACCAGCTGGGTGCTCATGGCAGGTCTGCGGACCACACTTCGAGCAGCAAGGGTCTCAAGCAGGGTTCCCAGCTGTGGCTCCACAGAGGAGGAGCTGCAGGGTGTTCAGGAGTACTCCAGGCTCCACCCACTGTGTACTGGTAGGACAGCCCACCATGATCACCAAAAACAATTCCAACCAGTGCTTGGCGTCCTGTAGGGTATGAGAAGGACTTGTCTGCAGGTTGTCTCGGGCGCTTCCAGAGGCAGTTCCTGCTCGACTGTAGGCCAGGCCGTCTCCTGTTAGATGAGCCTTTGTCTGTGCTCCCCATGTGGACCTGGCGCCCCGGGTTCCCACCTCCTGCAGAGTCCTCTGTAGAGCGAGGGCTGGGAATGTTCATGGGTAAAGCCCAGGCACCAGCTGTGAGACCGCTTCAAACACTGAGGGTGCTGGGTGCTGCTCTGGGGCTCAGTTCTCCTATCTGGAAAGGTGGGATGACATCATCCGCTTGGCTTGCTGTCGAAGAGGGACTGCTGGGTGTGCTCGTGCCACTGTAATCCTTGTGAGGTCTCAAGCCATGTCACATGCTGACAGGCACGTCCCTCAGGAGTTGGCTGTTTTGAGGAGCAGTGGTGAATTCCCTCCGTTGTGCAGCCACGCTGTCCATCCCACCCACTCAGCAGCCGCACTGAGGCACTAGAGCAGCTACAGATGCTCTGTAAACTTGCAGGCATGGCTGGATGGCTATAAAACTTTATTTCAAAAATAGGAAGCAGCCCATGGAACGCAGTTTGCCAAGCACTGATCCGTTTTAGGGCCCACAGGATTTAGGATTTGAGCCTGTGTCTGGGATGGAACACACGGTGCACTCGGAACAAAGGAGAAAGGGCTCGTGCGGAGTCATGCTTTCAGAGGGTCCCCTCTCTGGTGGGGACTGTAAGGCAGGAGGGTGGTGGAGGAGAGCAACATCCCCACACGGCTGGGACGCGCAGAGCTTGGTGGAGACCGGGCGGCGCCCACCCTGCAGCCGCGCGCACACACAGAGCCGCCTCTTCAGGCGCCCCCACCTCCCGGCAGAGCATTTGGCGCCTCCAGGACCTGCTCACCTCCCCAGAGCCACACCTCTGAGCGCACGAGACTTCAGGAGCACGTTTTAGGTCAGACCGTAGAAGTGCCATTGTTGAGAGGTCTTTGCTAGTCAAAAGAGTTCTCGGGACTCCTCCTATCGTTTGCTTGCTTTCTAACTGCACCACTGGCAAATGCCTGCTTCAAAATGACACTGAGTTCTCTTGCAAACCGAAATATTAAGTGAATAAACAGAAGGTAGGGAAAGGGTGACAGCACATGTAGCTCACAAATACTACAAAAGCTGTCACGATGTCACTGAACACCAGGGAAGTCTGGGCGCCCATCCCTGGCGGTGGCTCCCGAGGGAGAAGTCAGGGCTGCCGAGGAGGTACCAGAAGCGAGAACCTGGCGTTCGCCTTGTGCTGTGACTCACAGCACCCGTAGCTAATTTTAGACCTGGGGCTAGGGTGTAGTAGCTCCCTGTAAGGCTGTCTTCATGGCTGAAAATGGAAAAGCAGCTGGACAGTGAGACAGAGAAGCCAGGAGCTCAGACACCGCCTCCCTCCCAAGAGGTCAGATTGGCTTCCCGAGGGGCACGGTTTGTTTTCCCTACAGGAATGGTTTAATTGGCTCTCTTTGTCTTTTGCCTCCTTTGTGATATTCTTCCAGCATCTCTTACTGAATAATTCAGCCTCTGGTTTCCATAGCAACGTGCCATCTAGCGTATCCTGAAGAGCTTGTGGTATTTTCATTCTTTTTTTTTTCTCTTTTATTTACAGGCCCATAATAGTTTATTTTCCTAGTGCTCCCAAGTTTTTCAGGGTAAACATTTTTACCCCAGCCCCACCCTGGGCCACGTGACACACACTCTGTGTTGCTGGTCGATGGACTATAGATAGCAAGGTTTGGGTTAACGTCCCCCTTTCTCTTTGTTTGGTACTGGAAATAGAACTCAGGACCTTGTGCCTTCCAGGCAGGTGCTTGTGCCACTGAGCTATCTCCCCGGCCCTAGCCCTTTCTGCACAAGGGCTTCCGCTTGCCTTTAAGACATGTATAAGAGGACAAGTACAGGGTGGAGGACCTGCAGTTCCCTGGTGTCAGATGGGGTCCCCAGCAGTGACGCATCATGCCACCTCAGTCCTTCTGCCTTACCCCTTAAGAAACACCAGCAGCAAGAAGGCCAGCAACCACTGTCGCTCTTTGGTGCCAACCATGCGCCCCATTTAGGTCACCCTCTCAGTGTAGAGATGAGAAAATTAAGTTCCAATGAGGGACTGAACTGTCTTGCGGCTGCCTAGCTAGCAAAAGCCAGCTTTGCATCTGCAGTCCTGGAGCACAGACCCAGCCTCGGCCGGGCCCCCGGGCCCCCAGGCGCTGTCGTGCGCAGCTGAGTCACGGCTTTGCCCTTTCTCCTGTTGGGCTAGCTTTGATCAGAGTGTACCTAAGCCATCAGCTGGTGACAGTCCTTTGGCATAAAGAACTCTGCTCCTGAGTTGGAGAGGGAGCGATCAGTGCAAAATGTCACCCAGCCCGGGGTCGGGTAGAGTTTGAGATCCTTCGTGAAAATATTAGGAAAAACACTCAGCCCAGCCGGGCTTTGGAGAAGGTAGACAGGCGAGCTGGAAGCCTGGCCTCCCAGCCTCGGTGTGCTCTGTCCTGGCCTGGGAACAGAAAGGGAGGCAGTTTCCTCGGGGCCCTGTGGGGTTCCCCGTGAGTTCATGGGAGAAAGCAGTGGAACATGGATGGAGACACTAGAGCTGGGGTTGCTCTTATGGCCCAGCTCACCTGCACTTGGGCTGGTTGCCACCTGCACAGGACACAGAGGCCAACAGCAGTCTCAAGAAAGTCACATGAAGCTGTTGGATAAATAGCGGCTGAAGGGCCAGAGCTGCTGGGCCGCCAGGTGCCTGTGACACCTTGCCGTGGATGCTTGCGGGAGGTGCCACATGCTGTGTGTGACTGTGGTGGTGTGATTCGTCTGGAGGCCCAGCACTGGGTATGCACCTCCTGAGTGGCGCACGTGTCTCCCATTAGCGCTCTCTTGGGGCGTCCTTTGTTCTGGGGCTGTGAGTGAGAATCTGATTAAACTCCAAAGCATCCTTCAGTAGTTGGCATTTAGCATGTTAACGCAGTTGTTAACTGATCTCTCAGCTCTCTTGTACATTCTGTTCCACTGCATTTAGAACAGCCTGCTACCACTTAGGCCTGTAAGAGAACACAGGTCCTGGGGGAAAAGACTGTGCCCTGCCTGCCCCCGCTGCACGAGCCTCGAGATCCGCAGGCCTTTAGAAGGACGTCTGATGCTCCAGAGGGTCAGGATGGAGACTGGCCAGCGCTGTGGGGGGCGACTGGGGGCCCAGGGCACCAGCGTGGAACCTCGTCTTGCGCACACCAGGCGCTGCACAGCTTCTCTGCACTGCAGACGTAGTGGTTTGAAAGTTTGGTTGTTTCTGTGCTTAGAGAAAAAGTGTATTCCTTCAGTTGCCCCCAAGAAAGCCAATTGTTTCTGTAGAGTGGAAGTTTCATTGTGGGATGGGGTCTTGTCTCCTGAAGGGTCTCACGAGCTCTCTGAGGTAGGTACTATGAGTGACCCCATTTTTCAGGTGAGGCAAATTCAGAAGTGAGTGTTTCTGCCCAAGATCACACAGCAGGGAGTGAAAGGAGGACATGCTGGAGTGGACAGCAGCCCTCTGAGCCCGTCAGTTCTCACCTCTGGCTGTGAAAATGGAATCCTAGGAGGCGGTGAAGTGCAGCTCCCTGGGCACCGCCCCCTCCCGAGTGGGGAGCCCTGTGTGAAGAGCCTGTGTTCCCCTTGGGTCACTACTGCCTTAACTATATTGTGACCTTCGCTGCCTTACCTGGGCTTCTGCTCAGTGGCGGCCGGTGGGCTTGTTGGTGTCCTAAGGGGAACACACATTCT